GATGCATCCAACTGCAGCCTCTGTGACTCATGAACTGCCCCTACCTCTATACCTGCAATGTGAGCTTGTGTCTCTGTCTGCAGCCTCAGCTTAGAATTTGAAGCTGCATCGACCTTTAGCACAAACCTGAAAACTATCGGCTTCTACATCCACCTGTGAAATATAAAAGCCTCTTGTGCCTCCTACTCAAGCCTCCACCAGCAACCTGAAGTGGCTTCCACCCTGACAGCTGCAGTCTCTGCCAAACACCAACACTAACCACTTCCAACTGAAGCCAATGCAGCACATCAGTAACCAATGCCTCCACCTGTAGCCTTGAACAGCAAATTGAGCTGCTGACTCCAACATTCAGCCACTTCACCCTCCACCAGCAAGCATTGCCAGAAACCATCAACGTCTTACTTCACTACACTGCAGTTGATGCGTCCAAGTCCATCCTCTGCTAGCAACCTGCAGACAGCAGCAGCATACCTTAACCTCACCTGCAACCATCTCAATCCTAAATTGTAGGCTTACAGTTGCAGCCCATACCCTCCACCTCAAACCTCTGATCAACACCAGCAGCTTCTGCCTCCAACTGTAGCCTCTGGCAAAAAAAATCAGCAGCTGCCTCCTCATTTAGCACATGTAAGAAACAATCACCAACATAAAACAAGTCACTTGCCATTCCTCCGACTGAAGCTTGGCTGCAAGCTTGGACAAACATCTCAAAATTTCAAACTGTCTCATTAAAAGGACATTTTTTTCAATTAATAAACAAAGTCTATTGCACTCTTTAAATAAGTCTGTGAACTGTTTCTGACTTGAGTATCATGAACAAAATATTGAAAGGCAGCTAAGCCTTCATCATCAGTTCTAAAAGTGAAACTCTACGATGTAGCAACTTACTGTAACATCCACTCGCTGAAACTGGCTAGAACTGTTCTGTTTATTGCTTTTGTGCTGTAAATTAAGCTCAAACACAGATGTGCATTTTAGAGCATCCTGTAGTAGTTTCATGTTTTAAAGAATAATGCTATGGTTTGTTTTAAACCAACCCAAATCAAGAACACATAATTATTCAACAAATATATATATATTTTTTGCACATTTACATTTAATCTTTCATATTTAAGACTAGTAATGCTAAGTTAAATCCTGGTACATTGATCACATTCTTAGATTTGATATTTTTAGTGCTTATTTACTTTGTAGTTAATATTATATTGTGTTTAGATTTGCTCATATTGTGTGTTTGGAGAACCTGCTGCTGTAACACCACAATTTCCCAGTTTGGGATCAATAAAGTAATTCTAATCTATTCTATATCAGAAGGTATATGTATTACTGAATCAATTTCAAACAAATTGATTAACATCAAATCAAATCGTCACCCAAAGAAACAAAATATAACTGAGTTCTGAGGTCGTTGAAAATACCCAGCCATAACCTACTAAAGAAAATCTGAATCAAGGCTTATACTGCCCATTTAATGTATCTTTTTTTTTCCTCTTTATGTGTTAATTTGATGTCAAATCTCATTTTGATTTACTATGAGTGTTTATCATTCGTACATTTTCAGAAATGGGCTTTCACCTTGTTGAGCAGTGGAATATTTTCCCATTTAAACACGTCATTTGCCATCCCGAGTTTACACATGCACACCCACACTCATCCAAATCTGAGGATGTAATTGTTTCCAAGCAGCTCTTTGATGGCTGAGTCACGGAACATGTCCTGTATCATATCACGATAAGAAGAACATCAGTTTAAAGGCAGCAGCTGTTTCCCTTTTATCCTCTCTCCCTCTCTCTCTCTCTCTCTCTCCTTCTGCATCTCTCCATCCTCCCACTGCTTCCACAATGTGCGCTAAGCCAGGGAAGATAGGGCAAATCCCTCCTCTGAGCAGAGCAGGCAGGAGAGTGAGGAGACCGAGTGCAAAACGCTTCCTCAAACACTCCTCTCTCATCTCTCCTTTCATTCCCTCCATTTATCGGTATCCAACCAATCAGCATGCAGCCCCCGCTAAACCACTGTCTCCGAGCTCCACTGTGATCTCTTTGACTCCCCTGTGTGCCTCCGTGTGTGTGTGTGTGTGTGTGTGTGTGTGTGTGTGTGTGTGTATGTCATCACTAACCTGAGGTGATGATGTCAGAAAAGGTTCCTTCTTTCTAAGCTTACTTGTTTCCTCATCTCTCGTGTCTGTCACTCTAGCAAGTCTACGTTTTTCTAAAATCGAGACAACTAAACTTTTAATTTATGTAAATATTCTTCAAATGTGTTCTTATTTACTTTAAGGGGGAGTCATAGAAGAAGAAAGTTACCACCTGTATGTCTGCTGTAGGCTTTGTGATGCCTTTAAATCAAATGTGTTAGCTCAAGCTTTAAGCTTATGACATGTGCTAAAGTAGCTGCTGCTAACTTCTGTTAGGCAGCAGCTACATGGATGGCGAGTTAATTAAGTGTACACAGGCTTAAAATGAAGGAAGCTAACAGGTAGGTAACATTATACAGGAAATGTTACCCCTCATATGAACAACTATAGGAATGTTAAAGCAACAACGTGCAACTTTTCCACCTTAAAAAAGGTTGATCTACTAGAACAACAACTTTCAACATGGGGAAGTCAATCCCATGTCCATAGGTCGCCCCGGTCGCCTGCTTATAGCACGATGTAAGTTTGGCAGCATGCCGTGGCACTCTCAGAAGAAAGTGTGTACATAACTAGCCAGTTAGCCGTTCTTGATACTGTTTGATAAAATGGTTAAGATACTGAAGAGGGCGGTGAGGGACGAAGCTAAGAAGAGAAAAAGAGTGACCGAGCGAGAAGGATATCGTGCATCCTTGCAGGTATTATTCATAACTGGTTGAGATGTAAAGCTGGGCTGTATCATTATCGGTGTCATTGTTGTCTCATGTTCAGCAGCTTCACCAGGTGAAGAAAGTCAACTAATAATCATCATCGTTTAACAATTTCACAGCCAGGTTTAGTCTTCCGACAGTAATTCTCATAAATACACTATTTACATTATATAGTGGAATTGATTTTATGTTTTACATAGAAAATATATCTTTAAAGATTTATTTTTGGGCTTTTTGTGCCTTTAATGGAGAGATAGGACAGTGGATAGAGTTGGAAATCAGGGAGAGAGAGAGAGAGAGGGGAATGACATGTGAGAGGGAGGCCACAGGTGGAATGTGAACCCGGGCCACCCGCTTGAGACTACAGTCTCCATACATGGGGCGCGCGCCCTAACCACTGCGCCACAAGCGCCCCAGAAAATGTATCTTTAAACATTTTGTCAGCATATTAAAGTGGAAAAATGTTTTGGGAGCCGATGGCCAAGTGGCTAGTTTGCACATCCGATGTACAAAAGGCCGTTGTCTTTGAAGCGGGTGGCCCGGGTTCAAACCCAATCTGATGCTCCTTTCCTGCATGCCATTCCCCACTCTCTCTCTCTCCCCCCATTTACAACTCTTTCCACTGTCCTGTCTCTCCAACAAAGGCACAAATAGCCCCCCAAAAAACCTTCTTATTTTTTTAAATGGATATATTTTAAAACTCAGATTTTGAAATCTCAATGGCGGACTGTACTAATTACTATTTATAACAAAACATACACTAAATAGTGAGTGATTCTGGATGTGTGTAGGTCTTCTGGTTGGGATGTCGTTTCTGGTGGAAAGATCTGTGGTTCAGGAAAGATGCTAACTGGTTGCTATATAGTAACTGCAGTTTAAGCAAAATGCTCAAATGTATTTAAGGCATCTGGTTTGAGAAGATATCTGCTTATAGTCTGTGCTGTAAAGTCACATAATGCAGGGCTACATTTAGGTTAAAGGCCACAAATACTGTTTAGTCAGGCTTTAGGACCAAATGTCACAAAGTATAAACCTTTGAGATTTAAATTCCAGCACAGTTCAGCTTCACATGAGTTGGTTATCATAAATGGTAATGTGTCGCCCCTTAGTGGATAATATACGGAACGCAAGCAACAGACCTGCAGTCAACAATTATATTTAATTAACAGATATGTCCATTCTGTAGCTTCTGTGATTTGAAAAAGTAGACCTATGTTTATTCTATCGTCCTAACTCTCAGGGAGTTGCATGGGATTGTGAGACCTGCTTTATGCTCAAATGTAGTTTATAAATATAAACGCATCGGATCTATAGCAGAAGAAACTGACAAGTGACCGCAAGTATTTCATCTTTACGAGGTGTAAATCTGGTTCTCTTTCAGTTGGCCAAGCTGTTTTTCCCCAGAGTCCAAACAGGTGCACTGCTCTCAGCGTGGAGTCAGGAAGCTGCGTTCAGGTGTAGTCAGGAAAATTTGTAAAATGTCAACTGGATGGTAGGTTGAAGGAATTGACGAGAAAAAAAGTGATTTTTAATTAATTAAAACAAATGTAAATGCAATTGGTTGTTCATTTACCGAGTTAATAATCTGTATAGGTATTTTTAAGAAAAGGTTTCATTTTTAATCGCTTTAATTGTATTTTTTTTTTCTTGCTATTTTTGTTGCAGAATAGTCATTCCATATAAGATTATCATTGAATTAATCAACAAAATCTTTATGGTGTTTGCAGGGATTTCATTCGCATACCTTTGCACCACATGCACTTTAACCATGACGATTTATGTCTAATAATGTAAAAAATATATATAATTACAATCGTTTAATACACGCAAATCTCAATTATAGGCTATCTGATCCCACTAGATTTTGGTTAGAGCCTATACGAGGTGTTTTCTACCAGTTATTCAAAGGATTAACGAAAATATATATATATTAATCTGATTATTAAACTCGACATGGAACAAATAGCCTAATAAACATGTTCCATGGTGAAATTGTCTAAAAATAAAAAGGCATAAGAACAAAAGTGCTTCCTCAGTAAGTCTAACGTAACTGTAAACGATCGGTCTCCTGGTTATGAGGTCATGAGTGAGTTTGCACTGATAACTTTGTGGTGTTCGGGGGGGCACCTGAACGCACCATCAGACGGTGTGCGCACTGTGCTGACGAGCCCCGTTGCTTTTGGAAACAGCTGGTAGTTTCTGTCAGCGAACACTGCGTGGCTTTGAGAGCAGCCTTTTTTTTTGGGGGGGGGACAGAAAATAAAAATAAAAAGTTGAAATTAGCTGCGAAAATTTACCGACAGCGTTTCGATTTGACTCACAGTGGCCGTTTCAGTAGACGCCGGGAAATGTCATCCTGTGAACGCCACTTCATCGGCCAGTTGTTCGTTAAAGACCTCGAAGCAGCCGGGCGGTGCTAACGCCAGCTAGCCAGCTAACTTTGTAGTCACACAGCAACAACCCGGCAGGATACACGCTTTCTGTCATTGCAGAGAAACTGTCAGCTTGTTGTTGGTGTTCTTGCAGTGTAGAAGTGAAGTGGGGCTTTTTTTTTTTTTTTGCTTAATTTCAACATGACTCATGTGCATTATAAATTCTTTTCCAAACTCAGTTACAACACGGTGGTTCACGACGGGCCGAACATCACGCTGCAGGATCTGAAGAGGCAGATCATGGACATGGAGAAGCTCAGAGTCGGTTACTGCGACCTGCAGATCACCAACGCGCAGACCAAGCAAGGTAACGACACAGCTGCGTGTGTGTGTGTGTGTGTGCTGACGATGAGTGTGTGTTTATCGTGACACTTTTGAACTTTGGCAGGGCAAACACGTGCTCGTGGGTTGACAGCTGTGTGGTGAGAGTGCTGCGTCAACGTTCAGGATTTGGGGTGGTGGTGGTGGAGGGGGTCCAGAAAAGTCAAGCTTTTAACAAAAGAGTCTGATGAATGGGCCACATTCCTGCTACATTCACGCCACATGCTCCTAATCAGACGCCCTGATGGTGCAGGATCAGCCCTGACAGTGCCACGGGAGATGTGGGATAAAAATAGCACAAAAGGTGGAGAATCAGGAGCACAGCCTTGTAGGCAATAGGCATGACCTATAAGCTTTAAGACGACACACAAGCACACATACAAACAAAAATGCTGCAAGATACTCACAGTCATTTTTAAAAAGGCAGAAGGAAGGACCAGGGATCAAAGATGATTTAGTATATCCTCAGAGATTGTCTGTAGATACAAGACCTGCAATTTATGTTAGGCTAAGCTGTGCATGCTTTTACTGCTATGTAAGAATAAAGAGAATATATGCTATTTGTGATTTAGACTGTTGGTTTGCAACCTGGGGTCCAGGGGCTTAAGATCTCAAGGGGGGCGCAAGGCTCTGTCTGCTTTAAATCTGTCAATATTAGAATTGCACATAAACAAAAAATCTTTTTAAAACATTACTGGGAAGGAGGGGAGGAGAAAAGGTTGGGAACCACTGATTTAGACAAGCACATCCAAAACCTCATCAGCAGTCAGAGATAAAAACAGTTTTTTTTTTCTAGAAATTTGACGTATGAAGATAAAACGTACTAAAAGATGGTCTACCTAAAAGCCTGACTATAAAAGTGTTTTACAAAGAGATTTATTTCTATACTATTTCTATTCTATTTGATTGTGCTAGCCTCATCTCCTCACTGTTTCACAGTACAGGTGCTCAAACAGAGAAGGCCCACTTTGTCCTGAGCCTTGACTGTGAAACAACTGAAATGGCCTTGCCAGGGGACCTCAGACAACCTTCTAGCTTTGGAGTTATGTAAATGTTGACATGTCTAAAATGACGTCATGAAGTCTTGTCGTTAGAAATTTCAATAGTCATTGCAGCATTTTGTATATCAGTGTCACTTACTCTCTTATTGACCAGAAGATGTACAATTGATTCATCTAGAGCTGACAAGTGTTTAATAAATCAAATTGTGTTTAGCAAAAATGCATTCAGTGACTATTTTGATGACTGATCCTTGTTTGTTTGTTTGTTTGTTTTTATAAGCAAATTGCCAATAACTTCCAGCTTCTTGCTTTTCTTTTCTAACCTGGCAATGACAGCAGCTGGATAAATATTTGAATTTTAAGTTCTGACAAAACAAGCCAGCTAATGCATCCCGCTAAGGCATCCCATGAACATCTCTCTTTACATTCTGTTTCCCATAAGATGACGAATGGCTGAATCTGACACTGAAGTGTTATTGGTCCTCGATGTTCAGAGCACTAATGACTAGGTGATCTCGACAGCTATTGATGTGTTCATCTTAAAGCTGGAGGCCCCCTCTAGCTACCTAGCTCAGATAAAGAGCTTTATATTCATTTATATAAGTAAGCATCAGAAAGTTTGCAGATCTTTAAAAGACTGGAAGACATTTGCTTATATTACATAAGCTGAACATTTTCTTTGTCAAAGAAATCTTTTTTGTGTGACTTTAATCTCACACAGTCTTCTTCTGTTTGTCTCAGAGTACAAAGATGAAGAAGGTGCGATCCCTAAGGGCTCCTCCGTCATCGTCCGGAGAATCCCCATCGTCGGAGTCAAGTCGGGCATGAACAGCAAAACACGCAACATGTAAATGTATTTCCTTATTTTTCCGGGGTGGTGGTGGCGGTGAGGGGATGCTGTGCATGTAGTGTTATTGGGGATGAAATCCTACCTTGAACTGTCCTAAGCTGCTCCATGTGCCTTTGAAGTGCCCTCCATGGGGACAAATAAAGTTTTTGAATTTGAATCCCTTCTATTGAATAGTCTCCACCCTGCCTGAAAAAGCTTCTGCTACTTAAAGAGTGAGCTAACAGACAGTAGCCTCAGTCATAGTCATTAGTAAAGTTTCTTTCTATAGCAACAAGGCAATTCAAAGTGCTTCAGACAAGACATCAAAAGCATCAAGACAAAAAAGAAACATTAAGATAGAAAATGTTTAAAAAAAATCACTAAACAAACCATTAACATAGATTAAATGTGAAAATATGAAATACAATTAAAATACAAAAATATGATGTCAAGCGGGAAAAAAATACATTTAAACTCAAATCATGTAAATAAACTCTCAAATGTTATCTGCTCTGCGATTCTGGAGTCTTATCCTCCTGACGGACACAGATTCCCCTGCTGGTCCTGCCTCATTGAGACTGATGTAGGCTCACAGTTTGCTCCATCTGTGTTTGGGCACAGCACTCAGGTGCCCTGGAAACCCCACCCAGGGGTGCTGTCGTGGTCATAGGAACATTTTCTGTTAAAGGCAGGCATCACATGGCCTGAGCTTGACATTGAATTCATATGATAAGCTCTTACCAGGATAAAAGTGAAGGTTATCATAATAACAGAAGGCTCTTGGGTTTTCTGTGTTTTTGGGATGTGTGCATGTTCGCAGGCAGTTCCAGGAAGGCTAAACGATGAGTTGTGCTGAACAAAAGATTAAACATAGGAAACAAACGGTCCACCTGTTAGAGCACGTTAACACTCCCTCAACTCGAAGGCACGTCAAAGGAACTAAGACATAATAAAGGCTTCATAGATTTTTCTAGATATGAAATCTACTGAAATAATTTTGCACGCTCATTCTTTAAAATAAAATGTTCTTTTTTTTTTATTCTTTATTTCGAACGATTAAAAATAGATGAACATGAATAAACAAATGGAAAAATAAATCTGTATAAAATAAAAAAAATTTAAAAAGCCAATTTCAATATAATACACATTTGACTCGTTTGAAAAGGGATAGGAAGAAGCCTAGGCTTGTCAAGTCCTACCCCGATTTTTCAACCATTAACAAATGCAAAATCCAATAAAATAAAATAAACGGACAATACAAAAAA